ACAAACATAACAAATCATTGCTTTGATAAACCCATAAAAGCAGCTATTTCACTTATTCATAGAGTGGTTGAGCATATTAAATGAGTTAATTATATAGAGTATTTAGCACATATAATCAGCACTCAAGAATTTAGTTATTGTAATTTTTGTGGTCGTCATTTCTCTTATACTTTTCTCTTTGGATTAACTGTTCCTTTCAATCACTATTATATTTATGTATATTAATCTTATTTTGAATTTATCCTCATTGTAAAGCTTTGAGACATTTCCAGTGATGATAGTTAATAGCTCTTTTTGTAAGGTGAATTTAGAAAACTTCATGACTTTGAAATGTTGAGAAAAATGACTTAAGACACCCATGGATGAAAACAAAAAATCTTAAGGGCTCTGTGTGATAAACTCAGGGTATGACTTAAGACACCCATGGATGAAAACAAAAAATCTTAAGGGCTCTGTGTGATAAACTCAGGGCTAGAGGCCTCTGGCTGGGTCTCATTTCCTTGATGGCCTCATCTAGTCCCATCTATAGGCTGGGACTCTCAAATTTGTATCTTCAGCCTACACCACATTCCTGAACTCCAGATTCATGTAAGACTACTCTTCACCTCCATTTGGAAGTCTTGCAGGCATCGCAAACTCAAACTTACCATGTTCATGACTAAAGGAACTCCTTATATCGTCCTTAATCCTCCAAACTAGCACCACCTATAACCTTCCCCATCTCAGACGAAGGCTTAGGCTAAACTTAGAGATATCTTGGACTCCTCTATTTCTCTTTTACTTAGCCTCCATTCCCTCAGGGCATTATGCCAGATCAACATTCAAAATATTTCTAACCATTTCTTACCTCTCTGTTCCTTATCTCCTTCTTCTCTTGCCTTGATTTCTCTAGGAGTCACCTGTTTTCACCCTTACCCTCAGATGTACTATCAATCTGAAAGCCAGAGTGACCTTTTCATGATATAAATCTGATTATGTACCTCTTCTGCTGAAAATTCTCCCATGGCTCCCCATTTCACGAGGAGAGAAAGATCTACCGTCGTCTACAAAGCCCTCCATGACTTACAATGCCCTCCTCTCTGAACTGTCTCCTACCACTCTTCACCTCTCACTCTGATCCAACCACACTGGCCTCCTTCATTGTAAATAAAGGTTTATTGGTACATACAACATTCATTCATTTACATATTATCTATATGTAAGTATCTACATTGTCTATGGCTGTTTTCTTGCTACCTCATCAGAGTGGAATAAAGTTAAGACCAAGACCCTGTGGCCCACAAAGCTGATACCATATACCATCTGTCCCTTTAGAGAAAAAAGTTTGCAGGCCCTTGTTCCACAGAGACAGCTGCGGCTGCACTTCACCGAGGTCGGCCTTGAGAAAGAAGGAACTGCTGACTACTCTCCACACTGCATTTCTCAGCCGCTCAGCTGCTCAGCCTTTCTGATGTGTGTGAAGGGATAGGAGCCAGGCTTCCACCAGGGGTCTAATGAAGCAGAGGGGAGGACCAATGAGCATCAATTTCTCATTGCCTAGGGTCACCTTTGACTGTGAGAATCAGAGGGAAGGAGGTGACTGATGGGAAGGACATCCAGGCAACGGCAAGAGAGAGATGAAGTGAGACACTTGACTTCCCCCAATGTTCTCTAGGGTCTTTCCACATTTTCTCTTCTAGAGGACAGAATTCTGCCAGCTAGTATTTAGTGAATTGAATTTTGTCCTTAGAGACTTGCACAGTGCTCTCCTTGACTTCAATGGGAGTCATGAACCATTTGGTCTCCCAGACATCTGTGCTGGCTTCAGGCTATTTAACAAACGTCTAAACAAATCCCAATAAAGTGCTCTTTAATGGGTACTTAATTCTGGTGTGAGGGCGGGTGCTTAGCACACCTAAGTCCTTTCTTTTCCTTCAGGTTTAGTAAGTTTTCTCCTTTTTATGGCTTGATGATTATTGCAACCAAAATCCTGAGTCAAGCAGTATTAAACCCACTCAAAGTCAAAAGATGTCTGGTTTTATTGATCTCAGTTGGCTTGTTTACTCTCTGGGTTCCGACTTAATGGCTCAATTGATTATTCATTTACATTTTTAATTTCTTTGTGGGCAAAATCATTTTAACATGAATCACCTGTAACTGAATGGGCAACATACTAACTCATTTTGGATTTTCAATTTCAGCAAGTATTTATTTAGTAACTGAGCTCAGGTGAATTTAACAGATTCTTAATGGCTCAATTGATTATTCATTTACATTTTTAATTTCTTTGTGGGCAAAATCATTTTAACATGAATCACCTGTAACTGAATGGGCAACATACTAACTCATTTTGGATTTTCAATTTCAGCAAGTATTTATTTAGTAACTGAGCTCAGGTGAATTTAACAGATGAAAAAGAGATTTCAGTTTCTTGGTAAAGAACTGAAATCACAGTTGGAATTTTTTTCCTGTGCAAATTGGCCATCAGTTATGGGTGATCACACAAAATCAGAAAGGTGGTTAAGACATCAACTCCTGTGTCATTCTTTTATCAATTATATTTTGTCTAAAAACAATTGAAATCTACAACAGTTATATGCTCACACCTTTAGCTGAACTTTTTTTTAAATCCAGAAGCTTCAGTATCATTCATTGATGTGTTTTCTTTTTAGATAGACCTGCTTTACGGGTGGTAGAAATGGTGAGAGAAAATTATAGTATAGTGTGTCTTACATAATGGGAAATAGTATACGATTTTATTTGTTCACATGATTCTCTGTTCACAACGGTAGGCAGCGTGGAAGGTCTGACTACACTTACATTTACAATGGAAGGGGAGCAGAATTTGCCACCCCGAAATATATCTCTCTGGCATGGGGAATATTTTACACTGGTCATTTTAAGAAATAGCAGACACAGGCAAAGCTCTGAAAATTGAGAAGTTACCCTTTTGAAAGAGACATTTACATTTATAAGGGAATTCTCCATTTGTAAGGGTGTCTCCCTCTGTACAAGAAGAGGGGATGACAATCTCAGAAACTTATCAATGGAGGAGGCGATGCCTTAAATCTGAACCTTACTCTTCTTTACTCTGCTTTTCCTGGTACCCTTGCATCACTGATCCCACGCCCCACCATCCTTTTTGGTCTTTAGCTGAAGATGGTATTTAAAGGTGATGGCTTCTGTCATTTCAGGAGAATTAGTTTTCCTGGGTCTGTCCCATGTGTATGGGTGGCATACATGCTATTAGATCTTTAAACATTTTTTTTGTTTCATTTCTTTTCTTTTCCATTTTTATTTTTTCCTGTTAATCTGTCTTACGTCAGTTTAATTGGAAGAAGAGAAGATGATTCTGCTGCTACACAATACAATATTCTATCTCAAGACTCTTTAAATATGCTTATGGAGTGAATTCATGTGATAGCTTTCTTTCTTGACAGCAAACAAAGAAAGCTCTGAAAATATGACTTCCTGAGGCTTATCCTTCCCTGCAAGACTGTTTTGAATATAATATTTAGAAATTATATATCCAATCATCTACCTTTGCTTCTTTCTAAAATGAGATGAGGTATAAGAAAATACATAAATGCCTATTTCCAAGCAGAATAGGTCACTTTTATCTGACCGCTTAAAATGGAACCAGAGTTTAGTGCCAAATAGAGGAGGATTACTATTTTTCCCTGTGGGGAGTGGAAAATGCTCATGGTTAGTGAAACAGCCAGTGAAAAACAAAATACTATTAAGAAGTTTAAAAGTGCTTTGCTTTATTCATTTTCAATGATAATGATGTTAGTCATATTACCAAATGTGTAGATCAAAGAAAGGAACTGATTTCAAGTCTTGGAGAAAAGCCATTCAGAATGTAATATTCCTTCCACGTATAATTACCAAGCACTTTGCTATATGCCATGGCTGTTTTAGGTAGCAGGTTATAAAAATATATGAGATAAAATTCCAATGTTTAGGCATTCCTAGTCTCAGAGGTATGTGAACAAGTGATGTAATGATTATATTTACAATGTGGCATTGAACCAGATGGAGCTTTCAGGAAGAAGTGGTATTCGAGTGTGAACAGGGAGAATGAGGGACTCATTGCCCTGTGTGTGGAGTATCATCTGAAGAAGGCACCAGCTGAAAAGAAGAGTTGGGATGAATTGGGCGGCATTTAAGGAATGAGGGACTCTTCGTCATAGCTGATGAGAGCACACAGGTTGTGCAGATAGGCTGATGTCTGGGTTAATGCAGATGGAAAAGGCTGGATGGTGAACAGCTTTAAATGAGAAGGACTTGGACTTTATTACCTGGATGATGGAGAGACACCAGCAGAATTTAAACTGAATAAAAGGGAGCCTGAACTCAGACAAACCTCAAAATTTCCCTGGAAGGCAAAAGGAGAGGGTACCAGCAAGAGAAACTTTAAATGGGGGAGGCTCAGGGCAAACATCTAGTAGAGGGAGGCTCTAGCACATTTCTGTCCTGCCTCCTAAAATAAGCAGGTGGGACAAAGTGAGCTTTAGTAGGGGATCGTCCTGGGCTTCTTATCCCTTTCGCATGAAATGGTCAGCTTTACTGATACAGCTCCTAACTGGATTCCTCTCTGTTAACCTACTTAAGAAACTTTTCTAGATATTTATGTAGTTACTTATCAAGTTGGAATCACACCTCATAGTCATTTTTTCTAAGTTTCTCTGCCTGATTTAAGGAATGGAGTCAGGGTCACAGTCTTAATAGAATTGGATAAGTGAAGTTAGATCTTTAATATTTTAATTGCATTATAACATAAATCAATGAGGTGATATTTCTTTTAAAAGAATCACCCTAAATAGGATGATGGAAGTATCATTAAAAAGGATCAACTCACCAAAAGGAACTGGAATTAGCTACACATGGCCTTCCCAAATTAGAATCATATAGAAGAGCGTTTTTATGTATTCCACCTGACGAGTTGATGCCTATTGAACACTCTGGTTCCCTTTGTTTGGACCAGACGTGGCCAGGTGAGATCTTGGGTGGGTCCATACCTGTGCTGTCTTCATACACCACGGTCACTGTTTTCCAGTTGTAGTACAGGACCAAATCCAGGACTGCCTTGCTGATAGCCGCATAATCTGGGTAGAGGTTGATGTAAAACAAATCTTTGTTGTCCACCGCGGGGTGTTTCCAGCGGGTTTGTATGTGTGGAACTTCGAGAGCATTGCAAATAGACTGCACAGCACTGACCGAGGAGCTATGGGAAGGGCCGAAGAGGGCGGCCACACCAAGGCCCAGCTGGTCACACGCTGAGTGCAGAGACGAGGAGGGGTGGTGGCGAGGGTGAGGAAGGAGAGAGAGAGAGAGAGAGAGAGAGAGAGAAAGAAAGAGAGAGACTTGTGTGAATTTCACTTTTCCTTCTGAGAATCCCCTATTTGTTTTCACTATTGGAAATTTCCTTCCCCTCTCTGTATGTATGTTGAGGAAATATGCTTCACCTAACTTGCAAAATCCCTGAGATACTAAAGTACAGACAGATGTGAATGCAGACCTGATTAACAACATATCACAGCCAGCTCCCTGCAAATAAAAATGAGTGGCTGGTCTCACTTCAGTACTTTCAATCAGATGAAATCTAAATCCCTTGCCTTGTGGTTGGAGTCACCCAGGAACACTGAGAACACCTCTGCAATCTATTTTCAGTGACTGCCATGTGAATGAAGTTCTGTTATTCGACGGTAGGCAACGAAGATATTCATGTGGTCATAGAATTTGGAAGACGGGAGGTTGCAAAGCACTTTAGTTTGGAAGACTCTTAAAGAAGTTCCAGGCTATTGATAAACCACTAAAGAATGTTAAGTGACACTGATGCCTGCTTAATAACAGAATAATAAAATAGCATAGCTTAAAGGGATTGTAGAAAACATTTGGTCCAACCCATTAATAATCATAGACAACAGAGTGAGTCCTGGTCACTGTGCCATGGCAGGGCTGTGTCAGAGCACAGAGACCCAGCTCGGAGGCAAGCCTTTCTCTACCTCAGTATCAGCCAACATGTACTCTAAGAAAATCAAGTCCGTATGTATTGATAACTTAGTTTATAACATTTATTTATGTCATGGAGAGAATTTGGAATATTTAGAAGTGTAAGGAAGAAAAAAAAAGCTCTAATTCCATCATCTTGGGGTAACATCTATTCATATTTTAGTGATCCAATTGATTAAAAAAATGCATCATTATGCAGGTACAGTTTGATACACTGCTTTCTTCATTTGACACTAAATTTAACACTAAAAGCAGGTCCTTTCCCCTGAGTCATGACAAAGTCTTCGAAAGTGTATTTTTGGTGTCTATAGAATAAATAGCATGTACCTTGGATATATGATCATTCAACTCTTTATGATGTTGGACTTTTAAGTTTCTCTTAGTTTTTGGTTATTATAAGTAATATTAGAGTACTTGTTTTAGTTCTTATGTTTTTCTCTGAATTTTAACTTACTTTCCTAGAGTAGATTCCTAGCTATAATTGGAGGGTATTCATACTTTAAGTTACTTGATACATATTAACCAAATTCCCTCCCAGAGAGGTTGGGACAGATTATTCTCTATGACCATGTAAAATAGTGCCTATTAATTACATGCTGGTATAAACTTTTGTTGGTATTAGGCATACATTTAAAAGCATTTCAAATTTATATTTTAATACTAGTTAGGAATTTGGAACTGCTGAGAGAAAAATCACTGAATATTTGAATTACATAACAGTGAAATTTATAAATGAAGTTATGATATTCTTTATAATTATGTCACCCTATGAATAAATAAGTAGGAAAATGATATGGCTTTGTCCAAATTATCTGATGTGATTTAGAGAAAAAAATTAGTATAATTTTGAAAGACGTATTCCAAATATCTATTTAATATTTGGGGAGAGCAAATGTTGACAGTCATTCTCGGGGCAAACTTGCTGGTTCTGTGCTCATTGGTACAGAATTACTATGTGAGCTATGAACACATATTATTTTCTACACTAAGTGCTATAAATGTAAGCTGTCATTGTCCTCTGATCATTTTCTGGATATGTTTTCATTGGTTAGCAAGATAAAATGACAGCATGAGGATACATAATCTGTTGTTTTGTCTAGCATTGGCAATGGATTGAGATACCTGCTTATATTTAGCTCTGGGATGCTAATATGACTTGACAGAAAATCAATCCTTTTGAATTGTTTGCCAGCAAATTACCACTTTTAAGGAGCTCTGGGGGTGTTCAATTTATAGGTAAGGCAGGTACTCCATGTCACAAAAAAGCTTTAAATTTTATGTGGGTTGAAGTATCATTGTTAAATGTGGTTTCCTTTCTAAGGTACTTGCTTAACAATGTGTGAGAGAGAAAAGAAAGGCAGACAGAGAGAGAAAAGAGAGACACACGCCCAAGAGAAAGACACACACACACACACACACATGCACACAGAGCAAGAGATGAAGACATAGTGATCAACCCATGGAGATAATTCATGTGGAGATGACTTGTAAGCTTTAAAGTCCTTTATAAAGTTTTATTATTTGTTCATAGACAACTGTGACCTATGTAGTATCTGCAACTCCATCCATTTTTATAAAGAAAATATTCTTATACTAAGGTCATGCCATAGGTGGAAGAAAAGTAATCATTACATTATTCACTTCTCCTCTGTGCTTCCATGAAAATGAATTTTACGTTTTGTTTGTGAAAAACACTTAGAGTCCTGCAGGAGAATGTAAGAGGTGAATGCACCTGATGATCATACCTGAGTTAATTCTATACGGAAGCAGCCAGTATTTAGTTACTTGGAAATCAGCATAGGGTGTTCACTGTATTCCATTTGTTTGTGTGTTTTTAATGGGCAGAGTATTCCTCTATGAGGGAAAGAGCTTCTCCTATTCTGGGCTGATCAGCAGTCTTTGCTTCCATCTAAATACCTGCATCAAGTCTCAGCAGCTCTGTTGTTAGAGCCAAGCTTCCAGCACACTGAATGTAACCTTGCTTCAAAGAGTCATCCTGGTAGTATCCAGGGGATGTTTAAACAAGCCCCACAATTCCAGTGGCTCTTTCAGAGAAAAACCTTGCAGCCCAAATATAAATTAGATTACTTTTTAGGAACTTAATCTTCAGAAGAAAAAGAGAATCAGAAAAAAGGAATACAGAGATTGTTCTCATGGGTTTAATCATCATATTGTTATGATTGTGTGGAAAGGAGTTTTTAAAAAAGTTGAGAAGATGCTGTGTAAACCCAGTAGTTAACAACCTGTTAAAATTCAGGGTGTGGGATATGTGTGTTGTGGGCATTTCTGCATGCTTGGTGGGTATGACCTTCCACAAAGTTTTATTTGACTGCACTGTACAATTTCATGGTGGTCTCTCAACCTTAGGAAGAAAAAACAGACCAAGCTTGACATTTTTCATTCACAGCTGAATGAGTTAATCATAGAGTAGAGGGCACTGAAGGGTGAGCTAATCAGAAGGGGCCAGAAAACAGGGCTGGGTAACAACCATTAGAATAGTTCAGATGGCACTGGACAGTTACATCAAGGACTGAGATTTTCTGCAACCCATCTGCACAAAGATGTCCACTCCGAAAAAGAGCAGGTAGCAAAAAAGTAGAGCAGACATTTCACCCAAAGAAGCTTTTAAAAATGTGAAAATAGTTACCTCGCCGTGAGGCTTCAAAACTATCAAAAAGGTTAATTCTCTGGATGTCATAGGTTAATGTGGTGTTAGGCATCAGGGTTCGATTTCTGTTAATGCTGGTAACTGCGAACTTGAATGCTAATTCTTCAACATTAACAGGTTCATTTTCCACAGTTTCAAAAATCCCTCCTGCAGAAGCAAAAGAGATGCATGAGAAGCATTAGTCACATTATTCATGTGTCTGTTTTTTAGAGGAAAATATAAACGATTCAAACAGAAGGCCAGAAGAATAAATGTAGGAATAGTCAGAACAGATCCCAAACCCAGTGTTAAAAGTTGTTTGTCAGCATGTCACATGCAGATAAATAGATCTAATTCCATATATTTGTCAAAGACTTCAGATTCAACGTTGGACTGTACAACACCTCTCAGGTGGCAATGTATTCCAAATATTTAGCACCATGTAAAGTATAACTGATAATATGGTGGAGAGGTTTTCTACAGCTTGGACATGAATCTCACTGTGGTTGACCTAATCATAATTAGAGCTGTATTCTGGTAGGACTATCCTTCCTTAGAATGAAGTTCTTTCTATTCAGAAACAGACATTCTAATAGACTCTAGAGGGATCATTTAGAATGTTCAGTGGGGTCAAAATGAGATACACTTAAGCTTTAATTTCTCAGCATGAAAACATCTCTTCTTTGTGGTTCAGAATTCTGGTATCATATTCTAGTACTTTCTAAAGGGCACGGGGAGATTCAAAGAACTTTTTTTTTGTTTTGTTTTGTTTGAGACATCAGTCTGGCTCAGAAGCAAACCTGCATCCTATGTCTGGAGAGACATGTTTTTCCACTGAGCAAGAACATGTAGTAAGCCTCTGATGTGTTAATCATGAGGATTTTCCCACAAGCAGCAGTACAAAATACCAGTGCTGAAAGCCTCATCAGAGAATTCAGCACTGACTTTGCTTGACATGTTGTTGATGCTAGAAGCAATTTAGGTATTATTAAATGTAGATTTTTAATGTTCTTTAAGAGCTGTCTTGGAGCTATCAATAGACACAGGACATATGATAGAGGCTCTTTTAACTAACCTCCACTTAACTTCCTCCTTGACTGGCCAATTCTCTTAATTTCTTTTGGAAAAAAACCCCATATTAATTGGTGCCTGTGGAATGCTGAATAGTTGTACCTGGTAGACTGCTATTCATCTACTCTCACCATTGAGAGATTCCTTTCCAAAGGTCAGTTACAGGTTTTTCGCAAACTTGACTGTGTTAGATTCATTTGTAAGTGCTGCAAGTTCTCTCTCTACCCCCACTAACAAAACAAAACGAAACAAAAAAAATCCCGAAACTGAAGAATCTACATACAAATAAACGGAAACTTACAAATAAACATAACAGGCATAAGTATGATTTATGTATGCTCTTTCTTAGAAAGAGAACTCCATTGGCAGACTCTACTTCAAAGAGATGACTTTGATCCCATTTTGAAAAAAGTGAACAAAGAGACATCTATAACTTTTAAGTTAATGTTAATATATATATTTTTTAATTTCTTGCTCAACTGACTTTATCTATTACATAACTAATTACAGTGTCAGTTTAGAAAAGCTAAGAATATATTGATCTATTTTGGCTCCTTTTGGATATGTCTTTGGCTTTTATAGACTGATGATATGAGATAGTCATGTGGAGAACATGTCCCCGTTTGCTAAGAAAACAGGTGAATGCTATGTGGCAATAGTATGTGACCATGTTGACCCTTACTTACAGATTCATTTGCGGCATTATTCTAAAATTAACAGCAGGAAAAATTTTGCTTCGAAGTGACTTTGTTTTCTCTCCTTTATCATACAATGGTAAGCAGGTCCCCTGGGGTAGACTTTCAGTTTCTGAACTATTATTGGATGCTCGACAGTGAGATGGTAAACTTGTGCGATAGACACTTGGTCACCAGAAGAAGACTGGTGTCATGTGGGCTTACTGCCACCATCAAGCTGTCCCACAATTAGAAGAGGCCTCACTTAAGATCAGAAGTGATAGGGCTTCCACAGTAATTAACAGTAATTCTTTTTTTTACTTGTCTGTCTCCCCAGGCACATGGTGAGACCCCTCATGAAGAGAGACAGTGTCTTACTCAAAACCACCATCCTTAGGGAGACTGAAGTATCTTGAGATGTTCAGCTTGCAACTGTTTAGGGGAAAAGTCAATCACTGGCTCAGATGTGAGCACCCCTAATTTGTGTAAGGCAGGCTAGTAGGAGGGAGCAAACACCAGAATAGGAATCAGAAATTCTGAATTTTGGAACATGGGCTAACTGCCTTCCTCATTGAGAGGGATTTTTAAATGCTAGGAAGCTACTAATATTTCATGTAAGCTTTGTAATAGTCCATGGACGAGATAGCATTCTTGTTTTTCTAAATGAAAAAGTTAACTGAGAGATCACACATTTTGCCTAGCTTACTCCAAGTTCCAAAGCTTTTTCTGTGACAAA